CTTTACCTGAATAAACATTTGAATTTGAATTTTTTAATTTGAATTTTTATACCTTCTTACAATGTATTTTTATACTTTCTTACAATGTTCCTGTAAACTTTTTTTTTAAATTGTGCAAAAATTACAGTCTTATAATTATATGTTAGATTAATGATCTGCCCAAAACGCTCTGCGTTCTAGTGGCTTTACAAGAATATAAAACTTCATGTCACTGTACGTTAATAAACTCAATGTACCTTCTTGTAAATAAATAAATAAATAAATAAATAAATAAATAAATAAATAAATAAATAAATAAATAAATAAATAAATAAATAAATAAATATATAAATAAATAAATAAATAAATTAATTAATTAATAAATAATAACCCTGGTCCCACCCAGCACAAAAGCCAAAAGAATCCATTTCCATCACTATCCCACACCCATCATTAATATCCTCCAACTTGTTCAGTATACGAAAGGTCTCGACGAGTTGCGCCATGTCATGTCTGGTTTGCAGTGTTGTTAGTCTTATTGTCCTCAACAATTCGTTTAAAACGAATTATTATTATACCACAGAGTTTTATATGCTTATCTTAAGTGATAATTCATGTTTTTAAATTATATACCTAGAAATGAGTATTAGTCAATAACATAAAATACAAATGAAGGATATTTCAAACAAAAACATAATCGGGAAATGTTAAACTATATAGATGAATGATTTTAGTGATTGTAAGAAAAGAATAACTGAGATACAGCTGAAAGGTCATAGTTTGAAATTCATGTGGATTCCATCTCATGTTGGAATAGTGCTCAACGAGGTAGCGGATGACTTGGCCAAACGTGCCACACCAAAACCACAAGTTGACATCGAATGTGAATTCACAATGAGACAAATAAGAAGCAAAATCAGAAATATTCAGGCACAGGCAGAAGTGGAGAGGAGAGGTATAATGTATGAGGGAAGGGAAACCATGCAACACTACATGTGTGTGAGTCAAAACACCCATTTCACTTATGGTAAAAGGAGAAATGCTTGGAGTGACTGTGCACATGCGGCTCAGGCTTGGGTACAAATATTACTGGGAATATGGGATGGGTGTTCATGATAATGACACGAAGTGTATACTATGTGGTATGTTAAGGTCTCACACCCTTGCCCATTATGTTCTTGATTGTCCGTTGATTAACGTATATAGAAACACTGAGATAAGGACTGTTCCTGAACAAATAGCCTGGATGTGTCACAACGGAAAGGTTGATGATATTCTTGATATAAGAATTTTGCACATAGACTGTAATCTTTTGTTGAATTTTCTGCATGTCTCTTGCAAATTGTCTATACAGTATACCTAGGTCATAAAAGTATTTGTGTGTACGTCTGATACCATACTACTTGTGTAAAGGAGGAAATGTATATGTTTCGCATAACATAACATATATAAGCATAACTAACATGCTTAAAAGAAATTAGAACTAGAGACTGCTATGGGGAGTATATCTTCGCCAGCTTCAGAGTCAAGGGTGCTGAGTCTATCCTGTCTGTGGGTGCAGTTTATAGAATTCCTAACACTGATGTGTCCGAATTCAACTCAAACCTTAGAAATCTAATACTTGATAACAGACTGAACAAAAACCACCTAATTATCGCAGGGGACTTTAATATTGACCTCTGCGAGCCAGAACACCCTACTGCTGTTAGCTTCCTCAACTGTATGAATTCCTGCTTCCTCATACCCTTAATCACTAGACCTACTAGAATCACTGATAGCACTGCCACGACTCTAGATCACATCTGGACAAACATAACCTCTCCGCTTACCTCAGGTATAATCACCGATAGCACTACAGACCATTACCCCACATTTCTCTTAACTAACATTAGCAAACCACCTCTTGAGTCAAGAGAGATACGTTTTAGACTGCACAATGAAACTGCTATAGACAATTTTATAACTGCTGCTGATAATGTCAACTGGGAGTCCGAGTTAGGAAACATAGAGGACATCAACCTAGCAGTGCAATCTTTCCTTCAAAAAACTCTTAGCCTTTATAATACCCACTGTCCTATGCTTACAAAACAAGTCACAACCAAAAGGCTTAACAATCCCTGGCTTACAAAGGGAATACTTAAATCTATTAATAAAAAACATGACCTTGAGAAAAAGTATAGGTTAGGAATTGTCTCCAAAGAATTCTCAAAGAATTACTCATTATTGCTATCTAAGATAATTAGACAAGCCAAAACTAAATACTACGAAGATAAATTTACCCAAATAAAGAGCAACATTAAACAAACATGGAGAACAATTTCACAAATATTGGGATCAAAGAAGTCTTTAAATAACAAACCGACTCTCCTGTCTAATAACGATGGTCAGCTTTCAGCCTCTGATTCTGCTATTGAGTTCAATAGGTTCTTCTCTTCCATTGGTTCATCCCTTGCTAATGATATTCCATCTTCCAGTACTGACATTAAGGACTATCTTACAGGGAACTATCCCCAGTCTCTGTACCTAAAGCCTATTAATTCCATTGACGTCAATGAGATAATCCTTTCCCTTAAAACCAAGTCTGGTGCCCTTGAGGAGATACCAACTTTAATCTACAAAAAAGCCTCCAGATCTTTAGCCCCTGCTATTGCTTTGCTCTTCAACAAGTCACTTGAACTCCAAACCTTTCCAGATATTCTAAAAAAAGCGAGAGTAACGCCTGTCCACAAATGTGGTGATCTCACAGATGTTAACAACTACAGACCTATATCAATCCTGCCAAACTTGTCAAAAATTTTTGAAAAACTAATCTATAAGCAGCTTTACTCATATCTAGCCAAACTCAATATACTTAGCCCTTGCCAATATGGCTTCAGGCCCAAAAAAAGCACTAACGATGCACTTATTAGTATGCTTAACTCGATTCATACAGCTCTTGATAAAAATGAGTTCCCTGTTGGGTTATTTGTGGACCTGCGTAAAGCTTTCGATACTGTCAACCACCAAAACCTTCTTCTTAAATTACATCATTATGGTGTCAGAGGACACTCCCTACAGTACCTCAAATCCTACCTTACTGACAGGCTCCAATGTGTTTCTGTGAATAATACAATTTCTCCCACCCTACCCATCAACATTGGTGTTCCCCAGGGCAGCATACTTGGCCCTCTCCTCTTTCTCATCTACATTAATGACCTTCCAAATGCCTCCCAACACCTCAAACCAATCCTATTTGCTGACGACACAACCTTCATTTACTCCAGTCCTGATCCCCTTGCTCTAAATGCCACAGTAAATACTGAGCTAAATATAGTCCATCTGTGGCTAACTGCCAACAAACTCACCCTTAACATTGACAAAACTTTCTATATTCTGTTTGGCAATAAATCCTCTAATCAAATAAATCTCAAAATAAACAATACCCAAATTTGTAACAAATTAGATGGCAAATTCCTTGGCATTCTCATTGACCACAAGCTGAATTTCCAGGGACACATTCTAAACATATCAAAAAAAGTTTCAAAAACTGTGGGCATTCTTTCTAAGATCAGATATTATGTACCACGCCCTGCCCTGGTGACTCTCTATTACTCCCTTATCTATCCATATCTCAACTATGGTATTTGTGCTTGGGGCTCTACTACCCAAAATCACTTACGTCCTCTAATTACTCAACACAAAGCTGCTATTAGGACAATATCCAATTCTGGCCCCAGACATCACTCGGTACCCCTACTCAAATCCCTGAATATGTTAGACATTAAGTCACTGCACATTCTGTCATGTGTATTATACATATATAAAACGCTAAACTGTAATGCCAATCCTGATCTCAAAAGCTTCATAGAAGGTTGTAACAGAACCCAAGAGCACCACACCAGAAATAAATACAGTTTTGATATTCCTAGAGTACGACTTAATCAAACCAGAAATGCTCTACAAATCAAGGGGCCCAGAATGTGGAATGACCTTCCCAACCATGTTAAAGACTGTACCTCTCTCAACCAGTTTAAGATAAAAACGAAGCTATACCTAATAAATTCCCTGTAACCTACCTTACCCCTCTATTGTCAACCCATGTATGTTTTTTTTTTTTTTTTTTTTTTTTAAAATCAACGCTGTTTTAATGTAATTTTCTGTAATAATTTGTAATTGTATTTGTGCTGTTTTTTCAACAATGTTCCCCCCTCTTTTACCTCTATTTTTATTTGTACTCAACGCATTTTTTTCTTTTTACCCATTAGTTTTAAGCTTTAGTCAGTAGTGTTTTTTCCTGCCCGAAACGCTTTGCGTAATAGTGGCTTTAGGCATTGTATGTACTAGCTCTATCTATAAAGCCAACACACTTTGTAAAATCTCTTTATGTATGTACCTTTGCCTAAATAAAAATTATTATTATTATTATTATTATTATTATTATTATTATTATTATTATTATTATTATTATTATTATTATTATTATTATTATTATTATGTTTATCTCTCAGAATGTTTGGTAATATGTTTATTGTTTGTGATGTGTCTATGTATGTATTAACACGATGTACTGAACGGGGTAAGAAAAGCTTGAGCTACCTCATCCCTTTGTGTGTATTTTACCTCAATAAACTTATTTCAGTTTCAATTTAAATTCAATGATTATAGTCGTTTAAATAGACCGCGGTCGATAAAGTATGAAAAGCTACAACATGTTAAGCCAAAATAAATTTAAGTATTTTTTAGTATGCAAATCACTTAATAACAAGGCATTATATTGAAAACAACATCACTACTTTAACAAAGTTAATAATTTTAAATTAATGGAAATATATAATGTTGATGAAATATGAATTTGTAAACTTCAGATTATTAATATTATTATACAAAGGTCGTCAATAAACTAAAACAATTTCCAAAAGAATTGCACATAATAATATTAAATATTAGTATGGTCATGATAGCGTGGGCTTTGCGTATTATATTGGGGTCATATTGGCAGATATAGGTGTATTTGTGTAGTGTTTTGTCCTCGTGGACGGGTGGAGGCGGCACGAGGGTATACGGGGCGGGCGGAGAGGACGGCCACATATAAAAGATCGTCGCAGCGGCGCCCACACGGCTTCAGAGGGAAGCCAGATTTGTCGTCCTGGGAAGCACCCGCGTGTCGCCATGGCCCAGAGTGCCACCTGTGTGGTGAGTACTGGCCGAGGGCCCAAAGGGCAGGGCCAGGCGACCAGGAGGCGGGAGAGATGTTAGGAAGGGAGGTTACACCAGGAAGATAGGAGGGTGGCCATGGCAGCCAGGCGGGGCCACATAGGGAGCAACTACAGAATCTGTTGCAGCATCTTGGGGTCATGACCTGCACCTGTTGCAGCATTAAAGACTGTTAAGATGCAACAGTGGTGTGGACCTCCATATATTACAAAATAAAGGGTGTCGAGCCTGTACATAGCTGCACCACAAACGTTGCTGTAATAACAATGAAACTTCTATAGGCAATTTTATAGCTGCTGCTGCTAATATCAACTGGGAGTTTGAATTAGGTACCATAGGGGACATCAACCTAGCAGTGCAATCTTTTCTTCAAAAACTCTCAGCCTTTATAACACCCACTGTCCTATGCTAACGAAACACGTCACAACTAAAAGGCAAAACAATCCTTGGCTTACAAAGGGGATACTTAAATCCATTAATAAAAAACATGAACTTGAGAAGAAGTATAGGGTAGGTATTGTCTCCAAAGAACTTTCAAAAAATTACTCATCATTACTGTCTAAAATAATTAGAGCCAAAATTAAATACTCCGAGGATAAATTTACTCAAACAAAGGACAACATCAAGAAAACATGGAGCACAATTTCACAAATATTGGGATCAAAAAAGATTTTAAATAACCAATAATCCTGTCCAAAAACGATGGTCTGCTTTCAGCCTCTGATACTGCTATTGAATTCAATAGGTTCTTCTCATCCATTGGGTCATCTCATGCTAATGATATTCCATCTTCCAGTACTAATGTTCAGGACTATCTTACAGGTAACTATCCACAGTCTCTGTACCTAATGCCCGCTAATTCCACTGATGTAAATGAGGTAATCCTTTCCCTTAAGACAGTCTAGTGCCCTTGCCCTTATCAGTCTCTGTGGTGTAATGGTAAGATATCAGTCTCTGTGGTGTAGTGGTAAGACACTCGCCTGGCGTTCCGCGAGCGCTATGTCATGAGTTCGTATCCTGGCCGGGGAGGATTTACTGGGCGCAATTCCTTAACTGTAGCCTCTGTTTAACGCAACAGTGAAATGTGTACTAGGATGAAAAAACGATTCTTCGTGGCAGGGGATCGTATTCCAGGGACCTGCCCGAAACGCTATGCGTACTAGTGGCTGTACAAGAATGTAACAACTTGTATATATCAAAAAAAAAAAAAAGATACCAACTTCAATCTACAAAAAAGCCTCCAGATCTTTAGCCCCTGCCATTGCATTGCTCTACAACAAGTCACTTGAACTCCAAACTTTTCCAGATATTCTAAAAAAAGCGAGAGTAACCCCAGTCCATAAATATGGTAACCTCACTGATGTCAACAACTTCAGACCTATATCAATTCTGCCAAACTTGTCAAAAATATTTAAAAAACTAATCTATAAGCAGCTTTACTCCTATCTAGCCAAACACAATATACCAAGCTCTTGTCAGTATGGCTTCAGACCAAAAAAAAACACTAACGATGCACTTATCAGTATGATTAACTTGATACATGCAGCTCTTGATAAAAATAAGTTCCCTGTTGGGGTATTTGTGGACCTGCGTAAGGCTTTTGACACTCGACCACCAAAACCTTCTTAAATTACATCATTATGGAGTCAAAGGTCACTCCCTGCAATACCTTCAGTCCTACCTTACTGACAGGCTCCAGTATGTTTCTGTGTATAATTCCATTTCTCCGACACTGCATATAAACATCGGTGTTCCACAGGGCAGCATACTTGGCCCTCTCCTCTTTCTCATCTACATTAATGACCTTTCAAATGCCTCTCAACACCTCAAACCAATCTTATTTGCTGATGACACAACTTTGATTTTCTCCAGTCCTGACCCTCTTGCTCTAAATGTCACTGTGAATACTGAACTAAATAAAGTCCAACTTTGGCTAACTGCTAACAAACTCACCCTTAACATTGACAAAACTTTTTATATTTTGTTTGGTAATAAATCCTCAAATTAAATTAATTTAAGAATAAACAATATACAAATCAGTAGTAAAGTTGATGGTAAATTCCTTGGTGTCCTCATCGATAACAAGCTGAATTTCCAGGGACACATTCTAAATATAGCAAGAAAAGTTTCTAAAACTGTTGGCATTCTTTTTTAGATCAGATATGTTCCTCGCCCTACCCTGGTGACACTATTACTCTCTCATCTATCCTTATCTCAACTATGGTATTTGTGCTTGGGGTTCTACTACCCAAAATCATTTACATCTTCTGATTACCCAACACAAAGCTGCTATTAGAACAATATCTAACTCTGGCCCCAGACAGCACTCGGTACCCTTACTCAAATCTCTGAATATGTTTGATATTAAGTCACTGCACATCCTCTCCTGTGTACTCTATATATATAAAACTCTGAATTGTAATGTCAATCCTGACCTTCAACCCTTCCTAGAAGGTTGTAACAACTCATGAGCACAAATACCTATTTGACATTCAAAAAGTTAGGCTTAATCAAACTAGGAATGCTATTCAAATCAAGGGACCCAGAATGTGGAATGACCTTCCCAATTATGTCAAAGATTGTACCCCTCTCAACCAGTTTAAGATGAAAACTAAGTACTACCTAATTAATTCCATGTAACCTACCTACCTTCTAAATATCAACCCATGTCTTACTATTTAAAAAAAAAAAAAAAAAAAAAAAAAATGCTGTTTGTTGACCAACTTGTATATTGGCTATTTTCTACCATGTTCCCCCCCTTTTTTTTTATCTCTTATATTCTTTTTTTCATTCAACACAATTTATACTTTAAGCTCAATTACTATTAAGTTTCAGTCTGTTTTTTTCTCTGATGACTGCTCTGTCATCGCCCACATTTTGCCAGACTTCCTCGGCCTATTGTGCCCAAAATATGTCGCCTACGATTTTATTTTTCCTGTGCTTAGGGAACACAACTTTCAAAATTTTTAGAAGACGAAATAGTTTTTTAGAATTTTTTTTTCTTGTGCACAGTGGTGTAAATCTCCTTGGGACCCCTTAGCAGCTTAAGGGTTAAGATAATATTTTTAGGGGTGTGGAATGGATTAATTCAATTAACATTATATCTAGTGGGAAAATTAGTTTTGAGTTAGGAATTTTTCAAATTATGGTCTGTCTCTGGGAATGGATTAAATTCGTAAGTGGAGGTACCACTGTACAGTATTTGGAGTGGATTGGGGCAGCAAGGCGGAGGGCCACAGCAAATCAGTGGGCGTGTGGGGTAAGATGTGTACCAGTTGCCAACATTGGGGTTGCTAACAATAAGTCCCCTGCATGTGAGGCTGCTACTGCTTTGAGGCAAGCAATGTCGTGTTGTACTCGCCTAATTGTGCTTGCGGGGGTTGAGCTTTGGCTCTTTGGTCCTGCCTCTCAACTGTCAATCAACTGGTGTACAGATTCCTGAACCTACTGGGCTCTATCATATCTACATTTGAAACTGTGTATGGAGTCAGCCTCCACCACATCACTTCCTAGTGCATTCCATATATTAACTACTCTGACACTGAAAAAATTCTTTCTAACGTCTCTGTGGCTCATCTGGGTACTAAGTTTCCACCTGTGTCCCCTTGTCCGTGCCCCACCCGTGCTGAAGAGTTTGTCTTTGTCCACCCTGTCAATTCCCCTGAGAATTTTGTAGGTGGTTATCATGTCTCCCCTTACTCTTCTGTTTTCCAGGGATGTGAGGTACAGCTCCTTTAGCCTTTCCTCGTAGCTCAATCCTCTCAGTTCCGGGACGAGCCTGGTGGCGTATTGCTGAATCTTCTCTAACTTTGTCTTGTGTTTAACTAGGTATGGACTCCAGGCTGGAGCTGCATACTCCAGGATTGGTCTTACATAAGTGATATACAGGGTTCTGAAAGATTCCTTACACAAGTTTCTGAAGGCAGTTCTTATGTTGGCCAGTCTAGCATATGCCGCTGATGATATTCTTTTGATGTGGGCCTCTGGGGACAGGTTCGGTGTGATATCAACCCCCAGATCCTTCTCTCTATTTGACTCTTGCAGGATTTCCCTTCCTAGATGATACCTTGTGTTCAGCCTCCTGCTCCCTTCGCCTAATTTCATCACCTTACACTTTCCCGAGACTTGTGTTGCAGCACCCAGGGCCTGCTCGAGTGGCCCACAGCTGACCTAAGTAGGCAGGTAGAATTTCCTTCACAAGGTTGTTGGATGCTGAGGAGGAGGAGAGGAAGGTTGGTACAGCTATATGCATTACTGTTCAAACACCAAGGCCCCAATTCTTAAGGGAAGAGAGGCTTGTTTTCACTGTAGGTCATCGAGAGAGGTTGAGGGCTTTTTCTAACATTGATTTCAGTAAGGGGGTCATATTCACCTAGTTTTTGGCTAGTGTAGGATGGTGAAAACTTCAGAAAGTAGGTTAACCTGGGGAGGGACAGACATCTGGTGATGAGGTAAAGTGCATCATGAGCATCAGTATCTTCAATCCTCCCATCTATCCTCTTAAGGTCGGCAATTTTCTTACCAAGGACCTTAACCATGGCTTTCAACTCCAGAGGGGGGGGGGGTGGCTCCTAGGAGTGTGCTGTCTTCAGGTTGTTAAATGGATATTTGACAGAACATATTGTGTTCTCTCTATGATGCCCTGGTTGGAACATTATTTTGCAGAAGAGTTCAGGGTGAGGCCTAAATTTGTACCCTGCTCCTGGAATTCTGATATCCTCCAGGAACCAAGATATCAGAATATCTGCTTCCTGGAGGATACAGTTACTATCTGATATCCTGGAGGATATCAGATGGAACCATATCCTCCAGGAACCAGATGGTACTCTAGCTGGTTCCCTTGGGAACTAGCTACAGTACCATCATCCAAGAACCAGATATTTACACTATCGCGCGCGCCACGCGCGCACTGCAGACTTTGACATCATGGGACTAATGGTGCGGGCGAGCGTGCGGCGACACCTAAATGTGTATACTCATTTCAGTTTTCTCACCTTAATTCTCGTGCCACGTCGTTTGTTTTGGTATCATTGTGTTCGCAGTTAAATTTCCTGCAGATGTATATGCATATAATGTCCAAAAGCCTGGCGAGACTCCCCGCAGCAAAGCCTAAATTTACCCATGAACGAGCACCAATTTGCACACCACAACCTAATGTGTATACTCGTTCAGTTTGATAACATCAATATTCACGTTACATCGCTCGTTTTGGTGTCAAATTGTTCGCAATATAAAGGCGCACATTTTAGAACTAGTCCCATAATAATAGCACAATAAATAGAATTTTAACAAATATTTTAAAATTTAAAATTTAGACCCAAAAACGTACAGGTATTTATAATCTTTCAAGTGTTCTGACATAAAGTTTCGTGTTATATCTTTCATTTTGGTATCAAATTTTGTGCATTTTAAAGGCGCTTATTTTGAAACTATCCCGAGGTCGATCGGATAAAAAATGAATTTTATACAAATATTTTTGTAGTGGACGCGAGTCCTGTCCACGGCTAGGACTCAAGAGGAAAAAAATGGACATGATCGGTGTCCAAAACGAGTGATAGTGTTAAGCTCGCTGGACAGGACTTCTGTGACTTGTTTGATGACTAAGCAGAAAAGGAAAGGAGCAAGAGTCACTGTTGGACACCGTCTCGTGAGTCCATTTCATATTCGCCAAAAAGGTGCGTTAGATCCATACTGTATCATTAATGTACAAATGGGTAAAGAGAAGGGAAATGACGATGAACCCCACGGAGTGCAGCATCCCTCTGCACCAAACTGAACATACTGTATTTTTAAAATCTAGCTTGATCGGGGCCTTTTTGTCTGTGATGTTAGCAATGAAAGCTCGAACTGCATGAGCTGCCACCTCGCACCCTTGACGAATGACGAACCCAAGCTGTTTTGGCTTTAGCATGTTGGCCGCTGTCTGGCTAACTTTTCTCTTAGCAGCCGTTGCGACGAGATGCCAGAGGAAATTGCCCACAGCTATTGGTCTGATCCCTCCATCCTTTTTCCTTTGAGCACATAGATTCTTTAAAAAAGATAGGTCTTAAGGGCTCTGGTATGTTGCCAGCTAGACATATGTTTGTGAATCTGGTTATTTTTACCAGGAGGCCCTGTGCAATGTCACCCATTGCAGGGTTGAGCCTTTGTTTAATGTGGTTGGATTTTAGTTCTGTGAACCCACTTGCTGATCCTGTTGGGAAGGACAAGGCTGCTTTATGGACCACAGCTTTGACCACCCAGAGAAGTTTTGCTCCACTAACCCTAACTGGTAGAATGTTGTCCTCACATGGAGCCCATGGTGGGTGTTTGTTCCTTAGGGCTTTAGCTGCTGTGACATCTCTGTCAGCAATTGAGTCCTCACAGATGATGACTCTTTTTGTGCCTATAGTGTTTCCTCTTATTTTCATGGTAACTATTGCTCTGATTTTTTGTCAGATACACTACTGTTGCTCTTCCTGCAGTGGGTGTTTCTCGCACGAGTGGAAAGGTGCATCTGTTTGTCCTCCCTGGAGAAAATCATTTCCCAGGGAAATGATATATACTGTACATACATATATAATGTTTAGTAATACAGAGTGTACTCTGCTGTTTACCCTGTCATAGTGTAGCAGAAGCTCGCTTTAATTTATGTCTGAGCTTCACATAACTGTTATTTATCCCTCTCAAAGAGAACATCCAACTTCATATCTTTTATATTTATCATTTTATTCCAGTCTAGGGTTTACAATGGAGTGATCGAGGATGTCATTGCTGGTGTGCGTGAATGCTTTCTTGATGAAGGTATAGATGAACAAGTGCTTACTGAACTACGCTTATTATGGGAACAGAAATTGCATCGAATGAATGTGATAGACAATTCTGAACCTGGAACTACTTCGGCTTCCCATCACCACCAGCAACAGTCATCACACCATCAGCAGCAGCAGCAGCAGCAGCAGCAGCAGCAGCAACAGCAGCAGCAGCAGCAACAACAGCAGCAGCAGCAGCAACAGCAACAGCAGCAGCAACAACAGCAGCAGCAGCAACAGCAACAGCAGCAGCAACAAACACAACAAACTCAAGCTGGTGGGTATTATATGCAGTTTGCAACTGTTTTATTGCCAGTGTTTTCTAATTGTTGTATTTATTTTCTGAATCTTACCTGGTTAGTTGGATCATTTATTATGCACCCCATATTCATCCAGTGGGCCTTACCTTGATCATACTGTACCTTGATGGGGTTCTGGGAGTTCTTCTGCTACTGTACTAGAGTTGAGACCTTGGTTCAACAGACTGTTACTAAGAGTGGCCCGCAGGCCCACGTATCCACCTCAGCCCAGTTGTTTCGGCACTTCTTGAAGAAAGCTATCCAGTTATCTTTTGTAGGCATCCATGTTTGTTCCAGCAATATTACTTATGATTGCTGGGAGGATGTTGAACAACTGTGGACCTCTGATATTCATGCAGTGCTCTTTGATTGTGCTTATGGCACCTCTGTTCTTCACTTGTTTTGTTCTGCATTTCCTTCCATATCGTTCACTCTACTATGTTCTGTTGTCCTATTCGGAGCCTTCTTGTCTTTGGCTGGGCTGTTCTTGTTCTTTGATGCGGTCTGGGTGGGCGGGGCTCTGCCTGGTGGTGGTTGAATTGGGCCATGTGTGAAGCCAGTTGTTGTCATGAACACTTCCTGTGGTTACTTCATCTGCATCTTCTCAGTGCCATGCTTACTCTGCTTGCAAGTAGGTGTCACTTACATCAGAGATGGTAGCTTCTGAGAGCCACCGGGGCTCGCCAAGAAATTGGCGGTTCATTACATTCAACTCTTGTTCTTTCTCCTGTGATCAGGGAATGCATTTTAACAATATTAGAAGGAAAAAATAGTTTTTGGAATAAATATTTTCATGCCCTTGGGTTGTAATTCAACATTACAGGGTTCTGTAATATACAGGGTGTGCAGCCCAGGAGTTGAGCAAAAAATGTATAAATGTTTGAAATAACACAAATGGGATATTTGGATTCATATCTAGAAGTAATAAGACATCTAATGTTATTCCTCAGCTTCATCTTGCCCGTGTTCTTGCCTGTGTTAGATCCCGTTTAGGTACATAATTGGGTAATAAAACTTAATTTCAGGAATTAGAAAATCTATTATGAAGAGAGATTAAGAGTGTTTAATTTAAATGCTCTATAAAGGCGAAGTATAAGGGGTGATGTGAGTAAATAATGGATTAACCCTTAAACTGCGCAAAACATACATGTTCGATTTGACATAACTAAAGTTATTCAAACTTGCACAAACACTTTCCAATTTTTTGTGTATAATCAACTAGGCAAATGCTTCAACTTTGTCTAAATGATAACAATGTAACTTGTAAAACAGGAAAATAAAAAATAATTTTAAAATTTAATATTGAAAACTTCAGATTTTCAAATGAGCTTCAAAAATATAAAATATCACCAATTGTTCATTTGGTGTTATTGTGCTTTCGGAATAGCATATGATTTTAATTTTCATCAAATTAGAATATAGGTTTTTAGTATAGTTTACTGTAAAAAAAATGTGTCAATATGGCATTTGAAATATGCGGCAAATTTAGACAAAAATAAATTATAACTCCAAACATAAAGTTTATAAAAAATCCATTCTGGAGGGATTGTAGAACAGACAGCTGAGTACACGATGTCAAAATGTTGGGAATCGGTCAGAAACTGGAATTATAGAAGCCACTCAAAGTTGAAACTCTAGTTTCAGAGATAATTGATGTTGAAGTTCTTGACAATGAATAGAGGTAGTTGAAATTCGTTAAGTTAATTGTATGTTTTAATAAACATACAAGTGTATGTTTCAATATGTGTTGAAATAAAGAAAAAAATAACCCCCATAAAACAAAATATAGGGATAATTATAATGATTTAGGAGATATGTTTAGGGTATACTTTATATAAGTGAAAAAGCTCTAATCTGATCCCTAATTATCAAAACAACCTAAAGAGACAAAGAAAATAGTTTGAAATCTGTGAAAAAATCTGCCAAAAAAAATTCAAAGTCCCAAGTTCTGCAAGTTGTGACTGATTTATTTGTTGAAGATATTCTATCTTCACATAGGGAAGGGTGTGCACTCTCCAGGATATAAAGGTTACAACAAAATCAGATAATAAACAAAGGCAAAAAACTAAAATCTTAAAAAAAAATTCCCTAAAAAAATATTTTTTGGACATTGATGAAAGTAACATATATTAACATTGGGCACTGTATTTATATGATATATAACAAAATAGAGCATAATAGCATACTTATTCTATTATTATTTGTGGTATTATGCATTACTTGGCAATGCTATATAGGCACTAGCTACATATCCACTTTGTGGACACTTCTTATTACTATTCTTCTTCTTTTGAGCGTCGGACAGATGTTTGCATCTCTTTATTACTGCATTATCTCTTAGTTCCAGTTAATAGCTGTTCTCCTTATCAAACAAAACTTATCAATAAAAAGTTTGTCTAAAATCAATTTCTGAAAATATTTTGATGAAAGTTTCACAACGCTGAAGCCGATAAATTGGAGATTTGTTTAAAATTAAGTTTTTTAAATAATTCAAATATTTTTCGCTTCTGAGCTCTAAATATGTGCGGTTTAAGGGTTAAAGGGTAATTAACAAGGGAACTTGGATTTAGAAAAGACCTTTGTAAATAATAAGTTTGGAATAGAATTATGGAAAAAATTACCAGGAATTGTGTATTGTTATATTGGTAATATGATGCAGCATTGTTTCAAACATAGGTTAAACATAAATATGAATGAGTTTGGTCAAGCATAAATAAGAGCTGCCTTGCTTAGACCGATAGGCCTACTGCAGTTTTATATAATTATGATCTAATATTATATTAAACTTTATATTGCTTACATCCAGTGTTTTACATTAATACGTCTTTCAATGTTTTGTATAAATTACTGTATAATGTATGTTTTTATTAGGAGGTGCAACTTCACTGGCACCAGCAAGCCTAGTGCCAGTGCAAATCACAGTGCCAGCTCAGCAAGCTGGAGGAGTGCCCAAGACCATCACCATACATGTACCATCATCAGCACTAGCTAATGGTGTTGCTGGCCAGCAGCTGCAAGCTATCCTCAGTTCACCCACTGCTGCTCACACATTTTCTCTTGAGGTAACCAACAGTTAAATCTTGACATTTCTTTATTGATACTTTATGCTTACCTGGGTTTGTACACTGTATGTTGGGTTGCTTTTAAGGAAATAGGGTATTTTTCTGGGAACTTCTGATGAATTGGAAAATAACTGGTAAGTTAGAAAAGTTTGCATTTTGAAACCTATTTGTTGGTATCCACAGGCTAGTCGGGCTGCCGAGATCATCCAGCGGAAGCTGAACCAAGCACTAGAAGAAAATGGTATTGCTTTGCCCCCACAGCTCCAGCAGTATAACCATATTGGAGCTACTCAGGTGAGTGCACACACTCACTTCTTGCATTATATTCTGTATTATGTGTTTTACAGAATATAATGCAATTTTATATATGGTATTTTGTCATTTTTAAGCAATGCTGTTAGCTCATGCTGCATGTACTAACCTTGGTTGCTCACTCACTCAGTACTGAGGCCTTCACATCCGAGAATGGTAAACACGATTTTTTTTTTTAAATGGCGTCTGTTTACTAGAGTCCTGAGGAAGCTGATGTGAACCCCATGTAGCCTTGGGACTTTTAACCCTTAAACAGCGCAAATCATACATACTGTATATGATTTGAGTAACTATCACAAAATGGTGCAAATCATATATATATGATTTGCATATTTAACCCCTTAACTGTGTTGCCTCCAAATATGACACCCCCGCAGTGCGCAGGAAATAAATTCTCTGGAAAAATTTCTTTTTTCTTTTTAAAGTGTCAGAAACCCTTCCCTCAGTATGGGTATGTAGAAAAAAAATCAAAATTGTACTTACTTTGGCTGCTATGGGGTCCGTAAGTTGGGGCGTGACGGCATCATTCCCTGTTCGCCCGTGACGTGTGCTCCCGGGGTCAGTATGGTGCTCGGGGCGGGGCGCGCAAGTTGCCGCGAATATATTTTCATTCATTTTTTGCGCACAGTTCCAAATACATGTTATTTGTTTTTACGTGCTAATCCTATGTATAGTGAACACGTACACTATATTTTGGCATATTATGGCACTATATTACTGTCCGAAGACACTGTGTTACGTGCATGACACTTGTGTACACATATGCAGCACATATTTACTATATATCATGCTAATTTATGTATATATACAATCTATTTACACACTATACACTGTCACATACTATATACATTCACCATCAATACATTCAGAACACCGCGAGTGAGAGCAACCACACCCAGCCAGCCCTCCCTCACTTCTCCAGCATTGTATTCGCCAACTTTGCCCCTCCCATCATACAGTTATTCACACCAATGTTTCTTGTTCATTTATGTATGTTTACAACATATGTACACAGTATACACTGTCACACACTATATACATTTACCATCAACACATTCAGAACATCGCGTAGCAGCTGCCTCGTATGGGCCAATAGGAGCTGCCTCGTATGGGCCAATAGGAGCTGCCTCGTATGGGCCAATAGGAGCTGCCTCGTATGGGCCAATAGGAGCTGCCTCGTATGGGCCAATAGGAGCTGCCTCGTATGGGCCAATAGCAGCTGCCTCGTATGAGCCAATAGCAGCTGCCTCGTATGGGCCAATAAGAGCTGCCTCGTATGGGCCAATAAGAGCTGCCTCGTATGGGCCAATAAGAGCTGCCTCGTATGGGCCAATAGGAGCATTTGGCCAAGAACACATTCAGAACACCTCGAGTGAGAGCAGCCACACCCAGCCAGTCTCCCTCACTCCAACATCTTACTCGCCAACATTGTTCCTCCCACCATACTGTTATAGTTCTTATTACACATGTTCTATATACCTATCTACATGTTTTATTTACCAGAACTATGCAAGTAAGCCGGTATTGTGTCCAAACAGTACAGTGGCCACCATACACTGCATGAAAAATCACACAGCAGACGACGCTACTATTACGTCACCTCCCTCACCAAAATAGCTCCTCTCAACATTCTCCTGTTGCTGTTCTTACACTATATACACACACTATATACCCATGTACATATGTTTTGCCCATAGCAAACCACTAAGCTAGTATGGTGAGCAAAACAAGAGTGGCAGCCACACACACACAATGAGGCTACCTCAATTCTCGCCCTCCTTCCCTCACCAAAATTCCTCCTTCCACAATACTACGCACAATGCTAATTATAACCACAATCCTGCTATTATCACAATCCTGGTCACTAATTCCTGTAAATGAATAATTGACCACAAGTTTATTTTGAAAAGGAACCTAAGAAATCATTTGAAGATTCCTAGATGGACGAAATAATGCTGTGGTGCTGTGGCTAGCGCTGTGAACACCGTGAACAGCATTGAATCACTGATATTTGAACATTGTACCCAGTCATTATCACACTCAGGCTCTTCTATAATACTATCATAGCTAAATAATACAAGTTATATATATATTTTGACATTATTAGGCGATGCTGTGGTCACACACTGAACCGCAGTGCTGTGCGCTCATGCTGCGAGCGCCAGCCTTGGTTGCTCACACACTACCGAGGTTCCCACACCCGGGAATGTGGACCACGATTTTTTTTAAAGATGGCGTCTGTTTACAAGAGCCCTGAGGAAGCTGATGTGAACCCCATGTAGCCGCGGGAGTTTTGAATGGAACATGAAAAATACAAATACATATCCGGAGGCGCGTTGCGCAAACCAGACGTGAGCCTGCAGGCGCGTTGCGCAGTTTAAGGGCTAAAATAGTTAAAATAGTCCTACACATACATAGAGCTCACATCTGCTTCCTCAGACCACCAGTAACCATCCCCCATCTTGAAAAAAAATCCCGAGTCCCTCACTTTCCTTCTAGGGCCTTTGAAAGAAAATGATCATCATTGCTTGGTAACATCACCATCCAGTATCTGAATGTTTAGAGCAGTCATAGAGGAGACACTAAACTTTTAGCAACAGCAAATGAGTGATTACCATGTATATATTTGAGGCAAAATGTGTGCTATATGCAATTTTATGAATAAGTATGTGGGTGTCTATATCTTTACTTGTATATCCATACATACTTATAATTTCTTTGACACACAAATACAACCTGTTAGCATGAAAAGGCTAAATTAATAAATTGAGAAACAATGAAAATAAATCAACAAAGTTATTCCTATGCGGCACCTCAACTAAAAATATGCAACATCTCCAAGCCACTTCAGCTAAACCACAAGAGCTAGAGACTTTTTATTTAGAATTTTGTGCTTCCTGAGGCTAATTAACAATGTCATAAGAAAAAAAAAAAAATTCAGAATTTTTTTTTTCTTGAGCGCCCTGGGGATGTTTGCTATTTAACAGTTAGCGGTTTAACCCTCAAACCGCGCATATCATATATAAATGATATCAGTGACAAAACCGAAACCGCGCACATCATTTATATAAGATTTCGTGTCTAGCGCTATAATTTAAACGCCCCGCCTGGGATAAGGGCAGCTATAGTACAGCCACGACCAATAGTTGCCAGATGCCACCTAGAAAAAAAATCCAGGCCAACATTCTTGGGTGTTACAACGTCAGTATTGAGCAAGCCACCAAGGCTGGCGCACGCAGCACGAGCTCACAGCACCGCTGTTCAGCTTGTGACCACAGCATCGCCTACAAATACCATAATATAAATGATACTGCTATTATTTAGCAGTGATAGTATTACTGAAGCCCCCTGACTGTGATAAAACTGACCAGGATACTGATAATAGCAGGATTGTGGTGATATTTAGCGCTGTGCTCCATGGAGGGAGGAGTAAGGCTGTGGAGGGAGGGTTGTGGCGTCATCTGACTGTGTGTGGCCATCATTTATTGACTGCACTCACCATACCAGCTTAGTGGTTCGCTATGGTGAACACAAATGTAGATACTTATATATAACGTGTGTATAGAGTGTGATAACAGCGAGAGGAGTAGGTTGGGAGCCGCCATTTTGGTGAGGGAGGAGCGTCGTCTGCACGACTTGGCATGGTGTTTACTGATGGCCACTATGGTCTTTGGGCACCATACCAGCTTATTTGTTCAGGTATGGTGAATAAAACAGGTAGATACTTATATATAATGTGTGTATATAGCATAATAACACCACAAACAATATTGTTGGAGGACAAATATTAGTGCGTCTGGCCTTGAGGGTGGCCGCCGATCAGCTGACTGTGTGAGTAGCTACGTCTTATGGCATTTACTCACCATACAAGCTTAGATGTACAGTTATGGTGAACAAAACATGTAAATACGTATATATAACGTCTGTGTATAGTGAATAAATACAGAAAGAGTATTGTGGGAGGTGAGTGAGGTGGTGTTGAGGGAGGGAGTGGCAGTGAGTGGCTCGCTGGTGTTTGGCGATCACTCCTCGTTGCTTTTTGATTCACAAGACCAACTTAGTAGTTCGTTATGGTGTACAAAACATGCAAATACTTATATATAACCTGTGTATATAGTGTAACAACAGCAAAACTATTTGTTTGTTTTATGAACATAATTGAATCACTAATATGCACACCATAATTTTGAGTACAGCGATGGTTCACACATTTTATAATATAAATATACCACAATTCACTGTATGGAATAATATTACTGCAAAAAAATTAAGAAAAAATCAATCAGAGACATTGAAATAATTAGGTAATAATATATTTGTGGCAGCTGCCGTCTGACAGCTTGGGCGGAGCAGACCTCGTCTGGCGAAGGCTCTGCCAACGCCCCTTTTTTGCCACACTTCCCTACCCTATTTCGGCTAAAATATGCCACCTACGATTTTTTTGTTATTTTTTCCGTGATCAGGGAACAAAAATGAACACTTCTATAAGACGAAAGAATTTTTTGGATTTTTTTTTTTTTTTGCGCCTGTGGGTGTGAATTCCATTTGGGCCCCTAGCGGTTTGAGGGTTAAGGGTTAAATCATAGGTGGTACTTTAAAATTTATATGTACAATGTGTGCCATGCAGGAAGTTAGACCAAAATTATATATATTCAATTTGTGCCGTTAAAGAGTTAACCTAGAGGGTACAAGTGTCTGGGAATTTTCATTATCTGCTTATGTAGACTTTACCAAATGTAAACTGTATCATCAAAGTTACATCCTCCATCACTATGTGATGGGGTGCGAAAAGATACATGAATTTAGAGACAATTCTATAACTACTGTTTAACCACTGCACTGTGCAATGCGCCTTGAGGATCTTGACGGTGGTGTGCAACGCGCCTCAGGGATCTTATAGGTACTGTATAGCGTATCATTCAAAACTCCTGCAGCTACACGGGGTTCACATCAGCTTCCTCAGGACTCGAGTAAACACTTTT